GAAACCATGAGCAGATGATTGATATATTATATATATTGATTTACTGTACACTGAGAGGACAAAAATGTTGTCAGTTCAAGGTTTAAATTAAATAATTTATTTTGTTTTATTGATGTGGCAACCATATGTTCAGTTGAATTTGTAGGGAAACTAAATTTAATACATAAATGCCTCAAGTTTTAAAGATGTAACTCCTCGCTCTTCCTCCCAGGTTCCCCATGCTGTCTCCCCTGTCCCCATTACGCTCCCTCCCTCGGCTGTGCCCCCATCAGTCCCACCTCCACACCATCTCTGGCCTTTCCGGCCTGGCCCCCAAGCACGGCTACCGCTGCACCCGCTGCGCCCAGAGAAAATGGCCGGCTGTCCTCATACCTCCCCTAGAGTCCCTCAAAGATCCCCTGAAGCCCCCCCAAACACTCATCCTACCCTCACTGGACACATCCACCGACCAGCAGAAGAGGCCCCTGCTGGGGGGAGTGTTTTTCGACCCCCACCATACACAAGCTGCTGTGCCAAATAATGTACAGGAAAGAGTGGAAGGGAGTGAAGTGAAGGAGAAGAAGGAGGGAGAGCTGACAGTTTTGTCTGTGGGGAGGTGAGACACGTCCGCATTGTTTTATACCCAACACACAGCTAACATGATACATGAGGACATGCAATACAAATTACTTTTTCACAGTTTAATTTAAGAATAAGTGAAATCACTGGTGTCAAACTCTTCAAGTAGCAGTAAAGAATAGCTCAGTTAAAATATTCCAGTGGTGGAATGAAACTAGGAACGTTTACTTGACCATTCCTTAAGTGTAGTTTTGATGTACTTCTACTTTACTTTACTTTAGTATTTCCATCTTCTGCAACTTTGTACTCCTTCTCCACCACTTTTTAGAGGGAAATATTGTACTTTTTTACTCAACTACTACATTATTGAGAGATCTTACTTACTTTGTAGATTAGGATTGAACATACAAACCATATGATCATTTTATAAAATATGATGAATTGTTGTAGATTAAAGAAAAGAACCCAGCAACATAACAATGTCCTCGACCAAATTCAGTCAGTTATATCAATCCAGGATCAGTCATAATAATCCAATGTTATAATATACAATAATTTAACTCTGACAGAGGCCATACTGCTACAAAAGGAGTAGTTTACCTTTTATATTCTATGTACTTCTTGTCTGTTAGTTACTTAATCTACTTACTTCACTTAAGGATCTAAATACACTTCCACTGCTGACACATTCACAGCTCTTTTACCACAGTTCAGTTAAGTTACAGAAAGGTTGAAGGTAAAAAGTTCAAATTCAAGTTCTTTATTGTCTATGTATGTGCAGTGGCTACACGGTGAAATTCTTAGCTAGTTTCACCTCCAGATGTAGCAGTATAAAAAACACAATGTAATCACACACACATACACAAGTTCAGCTCTACAGTAGAATAACTTGGTTTTAAAAAGTAGCAGAAAAGATGATTAAACACAGTAGACACACTGTTGTAGTGCCAGTCAAAATACCATGATTGCCATGTTATCTGAGTAAATGTAATCACATCTCTTTGCTCGTTTGACAGATTTCAAGTTGCTCAGATCCCCGAGCAGAAGCCCGTCTCAGTGGAAACCAAGACATCATCCAAGGAGCAAAGGAACTCCCTGTTTGGAGGGAAATCTTTCTGCTCCTCTACATCATCTGGCGTCAGGAGGTACAACCAGCAACACGCAGTCACACACTTTCCTCCTCTTGCTCTCTTCTCGCATCCACTCCATCATAACTACTTGTGTAATCACCTCACTCCTTCCCCATTTCTTTCTTCCACACTGCACATTTGTTGACCAGTTAATGTGCCATGAAGTGTTTCAAGGTCATTAGCATGTCAGCTAGAACATTCTTCTGGCGAATTATGTAGTCTGTTTCAATGGGAAAGGCAATTATAGTATGATCAGTTTATCAGAGAAATGTCTCTAAAATGATTTGGGAAATGAGCATCCTCTCTTTCCAATTGTCTACTCAGACACATCTGCCAACACTCTCTGAATCAGCATCATTACAATAAGCATGTGGCCCTGCCTACTGTCAAAACAATCTGTTGGATTAACCATGTCCTGCACTAAGTAGGCAATCATTTATGCTTCAAAATCAGGCCAAATGAGGAACAATGAGATAAATGTGCTTTGAAAAGCACATTCACGTCCTCATCCTGCTGCCTCCTTGACAGTTTGACCCTCTCTTTCAGGTGAAGAGACAGAGAGACGGTGTACGATAATGCTACCTCGCTGAAGATGACCTCATCATTCGCTGACCACTTGACAGCTGGCACGGAGGGGGTTTCTGAACGACCGACACCGAGAAACCACGAGAACCACCTCCTGCTGGAAGAAGCTGTTTCTATTCACGCGATACGAGGAATAAAACTCTATTTATTATTAGATAAAAAACATATTGTGCTTCACAGATGTATCAGATGTACTATCATAGAAGTTCAAATCACAGCTGCTTCACAGCCCCAATCCAAAAAGAACAATGTTTTGTTGGATACACACAAGGGGCAGAGTGGAAAGAATAGCATTGTGAGAAAAAATTCTCAACACCTGACACTAGAAGGAAGAATGAGAGGAGGAAAACAGAGAAGAGAAGTTTGTATCATAAAAAAAATGCACTCTTAGACCCTGTATTTGTGCTTCCATGTAAAAACAAAACAGAAAAACACGGTTGAAACACACACATACAGTTCATGTAAACAGACACATCTACACTATTGGTGAATAGTGAAGAGGATAAACCACTGTGGAATATATTACTGACATAAAGATAAAACTCAAATAGCAATGACACTGAGACAAACTCAAGTATGTACATTTAAAAAAGAGGAAAATGTCAAGCCAAGTGGTCTCCAATCAAGTGCCATATGATCTAAGGTTTTCATTACCAACAGATTGAGCAAATCTGGCTTGACTGAAATAAAAAACCTGTATGATTTTTGGGTCATGTGAGACTTGATTAAAGACTACAACAGCACTACAGTAAATATTATAAGGAAACACATGTTACAAAAATCCAATAACTCTAAGTTTAGCAATCTAGCTGCTCTTTGCAGGTGACTGGAGGCTTTAGACCTTGAAGATGTTGAATGTAGTCTTAACAGAAGGAGCTCATTGCACCCATGGAGTTCACTTGAACCTTGAGAGTTTATGAAACATTCATTCAGCAATAGACACCTATCTGCAGTCTGCTTTAATACATTTTTAACTTTTAAGATCCTTAGACTTGGTCCAAGTAAGTGATCAGGGGCCAAATGTCTTCCTAAGAGCTGGTCCCAATAAAGTATCAATTTTCTTTCTTTTTTTTTCGACACTGCACCCCAAACGCAGTTAGAGGCTACAATTATCATTTAGATCCTGGGGTGAAAAAGTAGATAGGTAGAGATCACATTTGTAGAATAGAACATGTAAATGAATGTACATATGTAAATATGGGCGGGTATAGAGAAACACACCAGACCTGGCTTTTATAATTTTAGCATGCAGTGTGTATGAGGTGAAAGACAACTGCACCAATGAGTGACATTTGTAGTCCATCAATCAAAAAATGGTCAACTCTGTCACACCATCGTGCATATAAGCTGAATTGCTGGTTAAAATCAACACGATATATATGTATGATTTCTTTCACTATTAGATTGCAACATTTCGGTGTTTTCCTTTTTTTTTGCAGAGCAAACTGTTACGGTTTTCCATTCTTTATTCATCACAAACTTTTTAAACCTAAAGTCCTACACACACATGCACACGTGCGCACATACAGTATCTGCATAACTGCGAGAGACCACTCTCGCATAAATACACACACAGGCATTTTTTGTTGGTTTGTTTAATTAAATAAACCAACCAGTGGCTGCAGAGGATTAGAGGTTGACGTGCCCCAAAGTCATGCAGCTCAGCTGGCTTTGGTTTACATCCTCATGGGTTTTTAAAGAGTGTATTATAATCATAAAGGTTTTTTAGCTACTCATTTTCATATTTTCTAAATGCGTTGTTACGAGGAATATGACAACATGTCTGGAGGACTGGATATCTATTGGTTGCGGCAGTCACATGTTTGCATTTGATCTGTTTTTATTACTATTCTCACTATTAGATTTATTATTACATGTTTTCAAGCTGAAGTGTTGCTGGGAGGAAGGAAGGATAAAAAAAAACATCTCATCGAGTTTGTTAGATTGCATTTATAAGATTACATTTTTCTGTCTGATGTTTTTACTCTTGAAATAAAGAAGAGGTGTATTTTAAATGCTGCCTTATTTGCTGTTCTTCCTTGGTAATGTGGCTGTTTAGTGTGTGTGTGTGTGTGTGAGAGAGAGAGAGAGAGAGACATTCTGATCAGCTGTAGAAAGTCAACTATTGAATTGAGACTCCTGAAGAGTCATTACCAGTAGCCTGTCTTATTTGTTAGGCAGTACAACCACCTAGTGGCAGTCTAGTGTTAGTTAGAAATAAGTACCACTCATTACATGTGTAGCCAATACCAATGAAATTACCAACTGGCTCAACTACACTGCAATTAAGGTTACTCCACAAATTACAGTTCATACTTTCCAAACTCATAACCAACAGGCTGACAACTTCTCTGGTTTTAAATACCCTGCTCAGAGGCTGTTTGGTGCTAATAATCAGAGACTTACTAAGTAAGAATAAATTAAAAAACTAGGATGAACTATAGTCCTGCTTTCCTGTTAAAAGATATTGCAGAGTGATAATGAGACTCATTCTAAAGCCATTAACCAAGAATTATATCTATTTGATACAAATTATGGCATTTAGATTAAACAAATGTCATAAGGTACAAATAAAAAAAAATATCACCATAACTGTTCACAACTGATCTGTCATATTTTGTGACACAAAGTGACACACACACACACACACACACACACACACACACATGCCCTACTCCACTGCCATCTTTGTCTTAAACGTTAATCAGAGAAAGCAGAGCTGAGGTGTGTTTGTTTTTATTTATTTATTTTTTTTCACATCTGGTCAAATCTGATCACATAACTTCTACTGGTTAATGATAGAAATCTGAATGCAGTGTGATCAACTGAACTTTGCAAAACAAAGTCCTTACATTATACATACATTATGTAAAGACTTGGCAATCGAGTAGGATTGCCAAAATGTTGATCTGGTTTTAATTTCACATTTGATTCTTCATTAGGAGATTTCAACCGTGAGAAGTCTGAACTGGCTGACATTTAAGATTGAAAAGTGCACAGGTATGGGGTCTCACATCTACCAGAGGAGGAATAAAGTACAGTTCTTGTCCCCTAAACCTTTAGCATTTTTTATTGGATCAGAGTTGAGTTGTCAAACGTTGGCTCACACTTGTTGGTTTCGATGAAGGCAATGTGCTCTTCTTGGTGAGGTTACTGCGGGCGTCACGCCCAGCCAGGAAGTAAAGGATGGGGTCCAGACAGCTGTTAGCGCTGGCCAAAGGTCGGGTCACCTTGTAGGCTACACTGGAGGCCTCCAGCAAATTACAGCTGATCTGATGAACATGTAGAAATGTGATACACTGAGCTTTTAAAGTCATTATTAAGAAAAGGAAAAAAAAGCATTCGTCCTCACCTGGGCTGGATTTGCCTGCCTTAGGTATCTAAAAACATAGTAAAGACTCCTGGTGAGGTGGAAAGGGAGGAAGCAGAGCATGAACGCTGCCAACACAATGATGATCATCTTCACTGATTTCTGCTTTGAACGGTGGGCTCCTCCTTCAGACCCCCAGCCAGGCTCTAGAAGCTTCCTCACTATGAGGCCATTGCACACCATCACCACCAGGAAGGGCAGGACAAACATGAGAACTGACACTATTGAACTGTACACCAAGAAGTCATCAAAAAGCTCTGGGCTGGTGGTGTCGTAGCAGACCAGCGTGCCCTGATTCCTGGGAAAGGAAAGACCTGATTAGAACAGTTTAGTATTATTACATGGTACTGCAGCCTTGTTGGTGTTCCACAAAAATCAATAGTCCACACTTAAACCCATTCAGTACAATGAAGAGGGACACTAGTGAAGTAAGAGGTGGAGGAAGGGGAAAAGAGAGAAGGACAACACAAATTTAAATCACTTAGTTCTTGAGAAGTAGAGAATAGGTCCTTGGCAGAATAAAACGGTGGCCCACACTGCCACAGATACCAGCCTGGCCCGACGAGCGCTGACCCAGGAGAGGGAGTGGACTGGATAGCAGATGCCAATGAAGCGATGCAGACTGATACAGCACAGGAACAGAATGGAACCTGCGGGAGTGATTGATATTCAAAATGCTCTTTTTCACACTGTAGTGAGTCTTACTTAATCTATGATATCAGTATGTATTTTTTAGCATATTGTCTTCATGATGTGGTATGTATTGCATTTGTCTCAAGTCAGATCATACTGTATTACATCACATTGTATTGTATTATATATATCAAATTGTCTATCTGTTGGATTTTAATTGTTTTTAAGTTGTAGGTCTGGAACTGATGTAATTAAATTTTTGATGACACTAAGTCAGTTAAAATATTTCTCTTTTTATATCTTCTTGTATGATATCCTGCCACAGGAGTATGTCATTTTTGTATTTTAATGTATCATATCACATTGTATTGTTTTGTACTGTATTGTACAGTATCATAGTGTATCGTATCGTAGCTTATAGTGTGTCGTGTCATGATCTTACCATAGCACATTCTATGGTAGCTTAGTGTAAGGTACCATAGCCCTGTGTAGCATATTGCACCATATCTTATATACAAGGACACAGTATATTACATAATAATAATCTAACATATCATACTATTTGATATCATATTATTACAGTATGTATTATATCATTTTGTATTATATTGTATATTGGATAGCTTGTATCAAATATTGTACAATATATTATGTTGTATCATACTGTATTGTCATGTGTTATACCATATTGCCATACTGTACCATATCATATATCAAACTATATTGATCTGAACCACGCCAGAACTGTACCATATAAGTTGGCATAAAACAGGAAGCGTATGAGCTTGCAGATCGGTTCACTGAAGGGCCAGTCGTTCTCGTCTGCGTAGTAATAGATGAGGAAGGGCAGAGTGAAGATGTAGAGTGTGTCGCACATGGTCAGATTGAACATGTAGATAGTGGAGGGCTTCCAGCGCTTAGTGCGGAACACAATCACATACAGCGCTGTGGCGTTCAGCGCCAGGCCAATTACAAAGACGAAGGCATAGCTGACAGGAAGGAGAATATATTTAAATTCTTCTTTAAGTTTACAGTAGAAGGCACTGACATTGGCTAGGTTGGTACTGTTGTCAAAGGTGGCCATCTTGATTGTGAGAACACCTGAGTACAAGATAAGTACAAAGGAATAGATTAGTAACATGCTGCATTTGAACCTAAAAGCATTTTACTAACTTACCAAGTGAAACTGTGAAGTTATCACACACACAGAAATAGAGCAGATTACATTTTACGATGCCCCAAGTCATTCATTTTCAGCAAGCATAAAGCAAGCATAATCGAGCAGCCCATTGTGATTTGGCAATCAAATTTACACAGTTTGTAGCTTGAGTCATCCCATTTTAGCGTCATTGTGCGTTTCACAAAAAGTAAATCCTTTTGAGGCTGATTTTCTTTAATCACCTTGCTGATTGGGTGGCTGAGTACAGAAGAGAAGATTATGAGCGATAGAGAGAAGATGATACTTTAATGGTGGCGTTCAGATTAAACCTGGTGGAATAAATGGGTTCTGTGGCTGCAATATAAGTTACGGTACAACTGTACAGTATGTGTATGTAATAAAATGTACTGTTCACCTGGCCCAATAGGTGAGACCTTGACACCTTATCTCAGTAGATTACTGAAATACCTATCGGTCTAACCTCATTGCCTCTCCATTCTCCTCTTTCCAAAAGAAAAAAAAAAACTAATGGTTTTAACACATCTCAGCTGCAGAGGATCCAGACAAAGATTCACACAGACTTGCATGGCAACAGCGTTTTATAAAACTTTTAGTGCAGCTGTGTTCTCAAGCAGAAAAACAGCACTCATTCTGGCACTTTGCATGTCAAGGTTTTCCAAAACCTTGTGTCTGTGAGAGGGAGAGACAGAGGAATAACTTTGTAACTCAAACCATACCTTGTTTTGAAACCTTTCTTTCTGCTGTGCTCACTGGAATGCATGCTACATTGTCGTCTCACTTAGCGTCAGTCCATTTTTCTCTTCCTCTACAAATCTGTCTGTTTATCTGACAAACTCAATGTCAAACCAAACTCTTGTGACGCCATGTGGAGCCTCAAAAACTCACATACAACGAAAACAGTAGATGCCAGACTTTTGTCAGTTACAGTGATGAGTTTTTCTGATATTATTTTCTCTTTATACGGCATCCAAGCAGCGAAGCTGTTTGTGCCCTATTGTTTTTGTTCTCATTCTTCTTCTTCTGTCTTTCTTCTTTTTCTCTGCTAAAAGTGTTTGGGCAGCAAAAACTGCTGGACGAAAACTCACCAAAATTGTCAGGTGGGTTGCAAATTTCACCCACTACTCAGGCAAAAAAAAGAAATGGCACTCACAGACCTCATGGTGGCCCTATAATCAACTTTACAGTTTTGCAATTATCTCGAAAACAGCTTTGTTTAGAGTCAAACTTCTATCATTATTTTAATCTCTGGATTCATCTGCATTTTGCCGCAATAGTCTTCTGCTCTAAAAACTTCAAATTATACAACTTTTTATCACTTTTCTCTAAAACCTATTTTTGCGGACTCGCTGATCAAATATTATCAAAAGAATTTTGATATGTCAATCTTTTTTTTTTTTCATAAATTTGTACTTTTGTGTCTTTATGTACAATTTCACATAAATGCCCATAAATCAAAATTGGCTTAAGCTATTGTAACCAAACTTGACGCCTCTGTTCAGATGCTCGGTTGCTTCGTTGCAATATTATGATATTCTTCCACTAGGGGGCACTACACTTGCAAATGATTTATACCTCTAATTAGCTGCATGGATTCATACAAAATTCGGTTTCTACGATATAGGGTCTACTCAGTTGATGTATAAAATTTGGTAATGATTGCTCAAAGCGGGCGTGGCTTATTACAAGAAATGTAAATTTTTAGACATTTCTCATTCCAAACTTCAAAAAATCTAAGAAAATCAGGCATATATCCCAGAGCGCTGAATTTATTTCAGCACATCCACTGACATCACTAACATTTTCTCACTGCAACCTATGGTAAATTCAGAAGTCAGTCACTCTATATTTTTCTGAATATGCTAATTAAATTAACATCTATAGCTCCACAAGTCTTTCTTCAAACGCTACCAAAATCAACATAGACATTCTCTAGATGACCCATATCAAGTTTTTAGATCGGTCAAAGGGTGAGTTTGCAGGGATATTCAATATCTTGCCATAACTCACAGTATGCACAACATTTTCTTTTTTACTCAGTTTTGGATAGATGCCGTCAAAATAATTGACAACACACCGAAAACCAGCAGAATAATATGTGATTTTTTTCAGAATTTTCTTACCAGCATCTTGACTGTTGTAAACGTTTCAAGTTTAAACTGACAAAAATATCCGGTTCTGGCACATGTGATGTTACTGCCTCAACTTGTGAAAAGGTGTGTGGAAACAATCGCTCACCAGTAGCTCAGTCTTAAGTCACCTGGAGATCTGAAGGTTCAAATCCCCAGGTGGCTGAGTCAGACTTGCTGACAATGGAGGTGTTCAGTTCATAGTGAGTCTAAGTTCTCCGTTTTATTTGGAACCTATGACACTTTCTTCTTATTTTACTCTGCCAAAAGTGTTTGCTACTTAAACTTTAAAACCTTGAAACACAAAATGTTGCAGGTGGGTTGAACATTTCACCCATTAGTCAGGTAGGCTACATATAATGCTGCAAAAATCAAGTTTGCGTTATCGCAAATATCTCAAAGACTAAATTATTTCATTACTTTAATCTCTTAACTTGCTTGGATCCCGATCATTGCCGCTTGCGGCTTTATTAAAAAAAAAAAGTTGTTTTCTCTTTATCAAAATCAATGCCTCTTGCTCCATCTGTATCCTTTCCTCTCTTATTTTTTTCTCTTCAAAACAGCTGCAAGTTGAATTTTACAGATAACAGACCCGAGAACGAGCGACCCCTCTTGAAGTCCCCCAAATTCTTCTGACCTGCTGTGTGCATGCTAGATCAGCTCACTATTCAGCAATAAAATAATGTGCGCTTATTAAATTGGATGTAACAATAATCCACATTGTATCCCAAGAAATATACTAAAAAGCCCCCCTTCAAAACACATGAAATTACTCACACTGTATGAACGCTATCGCCTTTCAGAGACTGTCCTGCATTGAGACATCCTGTGTAATGTCTGCTCATTCTCAGGTGGGACTCTGAGTGTGTTGTTAATGGCTGAATGCCTACCTAAGATACCTGAGTGGGAGACAAACCTGTGAAAGAAGGTGTGTGCCGCTCTGACAAGCTGTAGCCTGTACACGGTGGAGAGCCTGAGGCTCAGATATTATGTTAAATGGACGATGTCTAAGACAAGACTTTCCCCACCTTAGACTGTAAGAATATTCAGTTTGTTAATTCAGAAAGACATTATTTAAATGTTTTTAAAGTAGAAATAATCCTATTGTAATCCCATGATCATAACTATGATAAGTATAGGAGTAGATAATTATCAATTACTTTTTCTTGTTCTTTGTTACCTAGCTTTTTATAGGGAATGGGAAGTAGGACAAAGTCTTTGCACAGTAAGCTATAATATTTAACACCAATTCAAAGACAAACATCCTTTTGAAGACAGGTAAATCAAACACACAGCTATTAGCATAAAGATTTTGTAAGCAAGGAATATTAGAAATCTCCTGGCATGCAATCAAAAATATATGGTCTTGTGTATCCTTACTAAAATACAGTGGGTCTGACAGCCATACAGACAAACAACAAGAATTTTAAAACTCAGGTGTACAAAGAATATATTGTTTGTGACTTTTTACATTTTACATTTACAGAACTTGTAAATGAATGTAAATGGATGGGTATAGAGAAACACACTGTACCTGGCTTTCATAATTTTAGCTGTTGTCTGTGTGTGTGTGTGTGTGAGAGAGAGAGAGAGAGAGAGAGATGTTCTGATCAACTGTAGAAAGTCAACTATTGAATTAAGACTCATAAAGACTCATCACCAGTAGCCTGTCTAGTTGGGCAGTACAACCCCATATACTGGCAGTCTAGTGCAATACCAATGAAATTACCCAGTGGCTCAGTGGTACACTACAACTAAGGTTACTCTTTCCATAAATTACAGTTCATACTTTCCAAACTCTGGCAACTACCAGCTATTTGCCCCTATTTACAGAAAAAAAAACTAAAATAATAACCAAAATGAATCAGAAACAACTCCTCAACCATTATGCCTAGATGCATAATTCTGGTCTCCTTTGATGGGTGAGAAGAATATGAATCAACTGTAAATGATTTTATTTTGCTATTAAAGAGTAAATGGAGATGCAATCAAGGAAAACATGATATTTTCATCCTCGCCTGGTATAAAATCTGTATTATAATAGCAATATCACCATCAAAACCATCATCCAACTCATAGTAATACAACAGAATATTTTCTAATACACCTGGAATACAACTGTAACTGTAAATTTGATGAAAATAAACTAATAGCCTATACATCAGTTATTGCACAATTTTTCAAAAATATACCAGGCGAATGTCCATGTTTTGGCCATATTTACTTCTGTCATGCAGGGCGCTGCATAGGATCAGCCTTCTCCAATAGCACAGGTAGCCAATACTTATCTGATGATTCCTAAAGTATCTATGAACAATGTTGGAGCTGTAATAAGTTTATTCACATTAAGTCATTAATTTATAGTAAATTAAGATGATTTGAATTCATATTATTCTTTCTGTTGAAATTTTGAGATCATGAAATTTAGACTGTTGATTTTTGATTTTGGAAACTTTTGAAACAACTGTTAACGAATGTTGGTAAAAATGATTACCTTGACTCCTCCTCACTAGGTCATTTCACAGTTATAATGACAGCTTGGGAAGTTCCTTTGTTTGAGTGAGAGAGGAGGACTGAAACCGATAAATAAACCGGTAAATAATTTTGTAGCAGCTGCTGCCACCGCTGAGTGTACATAGCAGAAACTCTGAATATCCAAAATGGTGCCTGGAATTATTTTTGTCAACAACTGAGCTATTAACAACAAAAACAGCAAAAGTAAGTCAGCGGTTGTAACTGTATATATATATATTGGTGCGTTTGTTGTTATTGTTATCTGGCTATGATAATGAAATGAGTTACACAGCTGATCATAGCTGGAGCTGAGCATTCTTTAGAGTGGTCGGACTGCGGTGTAGGATGAGAAGAGAGATATCTAGAAGGCAACAACTGGAGGCATGGACAGTGTTCACAGAGCGATTTAAGTTGTGACATAAGCTCTTTTAGATGCTTGGCTTTTGATGTGTATGTGGTATGGATAATAAATGGTTTGTTTGAGATTCTAGATGAGCCTTCTAGCTTCACGGAGGTGTGTATCATGGATAGGGTGACAAAATACTAGGATCACACATGGATTTCTCATTTGCATTTTGCACAAAAATCAATCTACTGGGTAAGTCAGGAACAACGCCAAATATCTTACAACAAATGTCATAAGGTACATGAAACAAATTTTAAAAATGTATCACCACAACTGTCTCAAAATCTATACATATTTATTACGATGTCAAGTTCCTTCATATTTTGTGATACAAAGTGACACACACACACACACACACACACACCCTACTCCACTGCCATCTTTGTCTTAAATGTTAATCAGAGAAAGCAGAGCTGAGGAAAACCCACTTGTGCCAATTAAAACTTCAGGTGCAGCTGTTGTCCAGTAGAATCATTTACAAAAACCACAGTTGTGGAGCACCATGTAGTTTAGTTATATCGATACGTTATAGCTTTTCAAATATAACAAAAAAATATGAACTCAAGAACTCCTTTAAAGGCATTCACTACGTGATTTCGATATTTATTTTACATCTGGTCAAATCTGATCATTTCTATTAGTTAATGATAGAAGAAGAAGAAGATACTTTTATTGTCACGTACACATTGCGAACTTCATTCTCTGCCCTTTAACCCATCCCTCAATGGAGCAGTGGGCAGCCGCTGTGCAGCGCCCGGGGACCAACTCCAGGTTTTTATCAGTGCCTGGTCAATTGCACTGACTGAAGAACTAACATGTTTTGATGGTGGGGGAAATCGGAGCACACCCACGCAGAGAGAACATGCAAACTCCACACAGAAAGGTCAGGACGACCAGGGTTGGAACCCACGACCTTCTTGCTATGAGGCCACAGTGCTATCCACTGGATCACTGTGCCGCCCAAAATCTGAATGCAGTGTGATCAACTGAACTTTGCAAAACAAAGTCCTTACATTATACATATATTATACAAAGACTTGGTAATCGTGTAGGATTTTCAAAATGTTGATCTGGTTTTAATTTCAAATTTGATTCTTCATTAGGAGATTTCAACCGTGAGAAGTCTGAACTGGCTGACATTTAAGATTGAAAAGTGCACAGGTATGGGGTCTCACATCTACCAGAGGAGGAATAAAGTACAGTTCTTGTCCCCTAAACCTTTAGCATTTTTTATTGGATCAGAGTTGAGTTGTCAAACGTTGGCTCACACTTGTTGGTTTCGATGAAGGCAATGTGCTCTTCTTGGTGAGGTTACTGCGGGCGTCACGCCCAGCCAGGAAGTAAAGGATGGGGTCCAGACAGCTGTTAGCGCTGGCCAAAGGTCGGGTCACCTTGTAGGCTACACTGGAGGCCTCCAGCAAATTACAGCTGATCTGATGAACATGTAGAAATGTGATACACTGAGCTTTTAAAGTCATTATTAAGAAAAGAAAAAAAAGCATTCATCCTCACCTGGGCTGGATTTGCCTGCCTTAGGTATCTAAAAACATAGTAAAGACTCCTGGTGAGGTGGAAAGGGAGGAAGCAGAGCATGAACGCTGCCAACACAATGATGATCATCTTCACTGATTTCTGCTTTGAACGGTGGGCGCTCGGGCCCCCACTCTCGCCCTCGGCTCCTCCTTCAGACCCCCAGCCAGGCTCTAGAAGCTTCCTCACTATGAGGCCATTGCACACCATCACCACCAGGAAGGGCAGGACAAACATGAGAACTGACACTATTGAACTGTACACCAAGAAGTCATCAAAAAGCTCTGGGCTGGTGGTGTCGTAGCAGACCAGCGTGCCCTGATTCCTGGGAAAGGAAAGACCTGATTAGAACAGTTTAGTATTATTACATGGTACTGCAGCCTTGTTGGTGTTCCACAAAAATCAATAGTCCACACTTAAACCCATTCAGTACAATGAAGAGGGACACTAGTGAAGTAAGAGGTGGAGGAAGGGGAAAAGAGAGAAGGACAACACAAATTTAAATCACTTAGTTCTTGAGAAGTAGAGAATAGGTCCTTGGCAGAATAAAACGGTGGCCCACACTGCCACAGATACCAGCCTGGCCCGACGAGCGCTGACCCAGGAGAGGGAGTGGACTGGATAGCAGATGCCAATGAAGCGATGCAGACTGATACAGCACAGGAACAGAATGGAACCTGCGGGAGTGATTGATATTCAAAATGCTCTTTTTCACACTGTAGTGAGTCTTACTTAATCTATGATATCAGTATGTATTTTTTTAGCATATTGTCTTCATGATGTGGTATGTATTGCATTTGTCTCAAGTCAGATCATACTGTATTACATCACATTGTATTGTATTATATATATCAAATTGTCTATCTGTTGGATTTTAATTGTTTTTAAGTTGTAGGTCTGGAACTGATGTAATTAAATTTTTGATGACACTAAGTCAGTTAAAATATTTCTCTTTTTTATATCTTCTTGTATGATATCCTGCCACAGGAGTATGTCATTTTTGTATTTTAATGTATCATATCACATTGTATTGTTTTGTACTGTATTGTACAGTATCATAGTGTATCGTATCATAGCTTATAGTGTGTCGTGTCATGATCTTACCATAGCACATTCTATGGTAGCTTAGTGTAAGGTACCATAGCCCTGTTTAGCATATTGCACCATATCTTATATACAAGGACACAGTATATTACATAATAATAATCTAACATATCATACTATTTGATATCATATTATTACAGTATGTATTATATCATTTTGTATTATATTGTATATTGGATAGCTTGTATCAAATATTGTACAATATATTATGTTGTATCATACTGTATTGTCATGTGTTATACCATATTGCCATACTGTACCATATCATATATCAAACTATATTGATCTGAACCACGCCAGAACTGTACCATATAAGTTGGCATAAAACAGGAAGCGTATGAGCTTGCAGATCGGTTCACTGAAGGGCCAGTCGTTCTCGTCTGCGTAGTAATAGATGAGGAAGGGCAGAGTGAAGATGTAGAGTGTGTCGCACATGGTCAGATTGAACATGTAGATAGTGGAGGGCTTCCAGCGCTTAGTGCGGAACACAATCACATACAGCGCTGTGGCGTTCAGCGCCAGGCCAATTACAAAGACGAAGGCATAGCTGACAGGAAGGAGAATATATTTAAATTCTTCTTTAAGTTTACAGTAGAAGGCACTGACATTGGCTAGGTTGGTACTGTTGTCAAAGGTGGCCATCTTGATTGTGAGAACACCTGAGTACAAGATAAGTACAAAGGAATAGATTAGTAACATGCTGCATTTGAACCTAAAAGCATTTTACTAACTTACCAAGTGAAACTGTGAAGTTATCACACACACAGAAATAGAGCAGATTACATTTTACGATGCCCCAAGTCATTCATTTTCAGCAAGCATAAAGGAAGCATAATCGAGCAGCCCATTGTGATTTGGCAATCAAATTTACACAGTTTGTAGCTTGAGTCATCCCATTTTAGCGTCATTGTGCGTTTCACAAAAAGTAAATCCTTTTGAGGCTGATTTTCTTTAATCACCTTGCTGATTGGGTGGCTGAGTACAGAAGAGAAAAATTATGAGCGATAGAGAGAAGATGATACTTTAATGGTGGCGTTCAAATTAAACCTGGCGGAATAAATGAGTGTGGGATTATCTGTGCACATATGGAAAGTTGTGGGTTCTATGGCTGCAATATAAGTTACGGTACAACTGTACAGTATGTGTATGTAATAAAATGTACTGTTCACCTGGCCCAATAGGTGAGACCTTGACACCTTGTCTCAGTAGATTACTGAAATACCTATCGGTCTAACCTCATTGCCTCTCCATTCTCCTCTTTCCAAAAGAAAAAAAAACTAATGGTTTTAACACATCTCAGCTGCAGAGGATCCAGACAAAGATTCACACAGACTTGCATGGCAACAGCGTTTTACAAAACTTTTAGTGCAGCTGTGTTCTCAAGCAGAAAAACAGCACTCATTCTGGCACTTTGCATGTCAAGGTTTTCCAAAACCTTGTGTCTGCGAGAGGGAGAGACAGAGGAATAACTTTGTAACTCAAACCATACCTTGTTTTGAAACCTTTCTTTCTGCTGTGCTCACTGGAATGCATGCTACATTGAAAAAAAAATTACTTGTCCCGGTACACCAAAGTGTTAAATGTCAGTCCATTTTTCTCTTCCTCTACAAATTTGTCTGTTTATCTAACAAACTCAAGGTCAAACCAAACTCCTGTGACGTCATTTGGAGCCTCAAAAACTCTCATGCAAAGACGACAGTAGATGCCAGACAGCGCCTTCAGCGCCCTCCTTTGTCTTCTCTCTCTCTGATATTATTTTCTCTTTATAAAAATCAATGCCTCTTGCTCCATCTGTATCCTTTCCTCTCTTATTTTGTTTCTCTTCAAAACAGCTGCAAGTTGAATTTTACAGATAACAGACCCGAGAACGAGCGACCCCTCTTGTAGTCCCCCAAATTCTTCTGACCTGCTGTGTGCATGCTAGATCAGCTCACTATTCAGCAATAAAATAATGTGCGCTTATTAAATTGGATGTAACAATAATCCACATTGTATCCCAAGAAATATACTAAAAAGCCCCCCTTCAAAACACATGAAATTACTCACACTGTATGAACGCTATCGCCTTTCAGAGACTGTCCTGCATTGAGACATCCTGTGTAATGTCTGCTCATTCTCAGGTGGGACTCTGAGTGTGTTGTTAATGGCTGAATGCCTACCTAAGATACCTGAGTGGGAGACAAACCTGTGAAAGAAGGTGTGTGCCGCTCTGACAAGCTGTAGCCTGTACACGGTGGAGAGCCTGAGGCTCAGATATTATGTTAGTCAAATGGACAATGACTATGACAAGACTTTCCCCACCTTAGACTGTATTTATATAAGAATATTCAGTTTGTTAATTCAGGAAGACATTATTTAAATGTTTTTCAAGTAGAAAAAAATCCTATTGTAATCCCATGTAGGCCTAATCATAATTTAAGTTAACATAAGTATAGGACTACATAATGATCAGCAATTACTCTTTCTTGTTCTTTGTAACCTAGCTTTTTATAGGGAATGGGAAGTAGAACAAAGTCTTCGCACAGTAAGCTATAATATTTAACACCAATTCAAAGAGGACGTGTAATTCTTAATCCAAACACACAGCGTAAAGATTTTGTAAGCAAGGAATATTAAAAATCTCCTGCCAGGCAATCAAAAATATATGGTCCTGTGTATCCTTCCTTAAATACAGTGGATCTGACAGTGTGACTTTTCATATTTCAGGCAAATATGTGAATTGCATCCAAATTCCTTTTTGTACTCCTTTTATTTGACTGTTTTTACAGTAAAATGTCTTACCTTAGTGTGACCAAAGAAAAATAGAAGTCAAATTATAAGAGGACCCATAAACCTTCTGTACCACTGGTGTCTATGTGTTAATACATGGGTTTGGTTCTCCTGAATGCGAGCATGTGCATGTGCATGAGTGAGAGCTGAGAAAGTGCACTTAATGTCTTACCTGTTCCAGAAACTCTGTGTATTAATGATTACATCGCCCTTAACCTTAACCTTGGCCATGGCACGTATAGGGGGCATGAAGTAAAATTGGCAACTTTTCCTTCCAGCTATTTTGTCTTTTCTTCTGTTTGGCTAAAATGAACCCTTCCAGGGAGCCATATATTTTTTCCTGTTTTCTTTTTTATAAGATATTGAAGTGTCCTTGGGCAAGATACTGAACCCCGATTTGCCCCTGGCGGCTGTTCCGCCAGTGTATGAATGTGTATGAATGTTAGTTTCCGTTTGAGCACTTAGGCTCAGTGTAAGAATGTGTATGACTGGTGAATGCAGATGTCGTGTAAAAGCGCTTTGAGTGGTCGAAAAGACTAGAAAGGCGCTATACAGAGCATTTACATTTTTTTGGTTTTCCCCAATGCAACATTTAGTTCTCCCCTACACAACTTACTTTGTTTCATCCCACAACCTATAATTCAATACCTGGTCAATTTTAAATGATATGCAACCACACCTAACACATAAACATACATACGCAGGCTACACAGATTCAGTATTTTACATGTACGAGGAATTTGATTTGGTGACAAGGTGCTACACGTAGACAAACATACAGTTGACAGAAATAAATGTAAAAAATATACACTGAACAAAATTATAAATGCAACACTTTTGTTTTTGCACTCACTTTTGAACTCAAAGATCTAAGACTTTCTCTAGGTACACAAAAGGCCTATTTCTTTCAAATATTGTTCACAAATCTGCCAAATCTGTGTTAGTGAGCACTTCTCCTTTGCTGAGAGAATCCATACACCTCACAGGTGTGGCATATCAAGATGCTGATCAGACAGCATCGGTATTGTACAGGTGTGCCTTAGGCTGGCCACAATAAAAGGCCTCTCGAAAATGTGCAGTTCCATCACAGTTTTGAGGGAGCATGCAATTGGCATGCTGACTGCAGGAATGTCCACCAGAGCTGTTGCCCGTGAATTGAACGTTCATTTCTCTACCATAAGCTCTCCAAAGAATTTGTCAGTACATCCAACCAGCCTCACAACTGCACACCATGTGTAACACACCAGCCCAGGACCTCCACATCCAGCATCTTAACCTCCAAGATCATCTGAGACCAGCCACCCAGACAGCTGCTGCAACAATCGGTTTGCATAACCATACCGTCTCAGGGAAGCTCATGCTACATGCTCGGCATCCTCATCGGGGTCTCGACCCCCACAGCCATTGAGTAGGAGTGGACCAACATTCCACAGGCCACAATCAACAACCTGATCAACTCTAAGCGAAGGAGATGTGTTGAACTGTGTGAGGCAAATGGTGGTCACACCAGATACTGACCCCCCCAATACAGTGAAACTCCACATTTTCGAGTGGCCTTTTATTATGGCCAGCCTAAGGCACACCTGTGCAATACCCATGCTGTTTGATCAGCATCTTGATATGCCACACCAGTGAGGTGGATGGATTCTCTCAGCAAAGGAGAAGTGCTCACTAACACAGATTCTGACCGATTTGTGAACAATATTTGAGAGAAATAGGCCTTTTGTGTACACAGAGAAAGTCTTCTTTTAAATCTTTGAGTTCAGCTATTGATGAATGGGGGCAAAAACAAAAGTGTTGTGTTTATAATTTTGTTCAGTGTATAAATATGGAATAAACATATGCAAGTTATAAATGAATAATAGAATTATGCGTAGAAAAAAAAATTTAATATTTAAATGTGCATTACTCCAGGTTTGTGTTGCACAGTGGGAGAGGATTTATCTTTATATAATTATATTAAGAAAATATTTTTTTAAAGTATTATTATTAGTCTATTTAATAATAGCACAACATAGACAACTATAAATAAAATTTTGAAATGCATTATTATTGTATTATAATGTTTACTGTGATGTGTCTGATGCTTAATACACCAGTTGGATTGAGATGCTCAAAATAATACTATTTATTATTAAGAATCCACGCGTCTTAAATGTAGTCTTTTCTTTTCTTCCCTCTATCTCTTTAAAAAATACTACTAGTTTTGTCCTACTACGTGATCGATTTTTCTTCGATCGACTGCGGTTTCTTGTTGCTATGCAGGTCTGCGGGACGCAGCCTCCTGTCAGTGTCAGGCTTTTCTCCTTGAGCAGGCTCGGGAAAAAAACCCTGTTGCTCACTGAATAAATAGTCCCATTTTGAAGTTATTATATTTTTTGTCCCTTTATTTGGTTTGAAAAACCTTTACAAATGCGCTAATCGAGGTTACTGTCAACGCCGGGAGAGAAAAGGACATCTTTCTGCTCTCAAGTGTTTTTCATCCCAGCCCGGCAGCTATTCGGTTCTTCGCCACTTTGGGGAGCTGTTGAGCTTAGCTGCTGAAGGGATTCCCCGTTATTATCTATACCCCCATCCCTGCCCTCGGCTTTTTTCTCCCCGCCTGTCTGCTCTGCTGCTTCACAACACAGTACAGTACAGTACACACTAGTCCTCTAGTAGTGGCAGCAACCAACACAAGTGTGTAGAGTCTCTCCTCGGAGCTTCAGTTTCTGTTCTGTATAAACCAGCCATTTATCATCAATCATGGCCGCCGGAGTACAAATTTAACTCCCGTCTTTCCTCCCTGTCGTCTGGAGGGGAGGATTTTTGTTTGGGGAAACTAAAAAATATTAGTCCCACACTGATTTTGGATTTCCTCTTGGAATTACAATACATCTCACAAGGGAAATACCATTCATGTCAATACTCCAAAATGCAGCCGCCGCCGAGGAAGGTGAGTGATCTCCAGAGTCCGTTATGTTTGTAGCCGGACTGTGTACAGACAATGACAGACAGATAACAGCGAAGTAACATGAGATGCGGATGTTGTGTTAAACTAACCACACAAAAAAGCCTCCTGGTGTTCGAGGCTCAAGAAAATTAAAGGGTAGAGAAAAGACCAGTGCTAGCCAGCGTTAGCAGCGTTTGCTAGCTAGGTTAGTCACTAACCTACTGACATTAATACGCATCTGTCCAGGCGTTATAGCGCGAGCCGTCAAACGTCAACTAACGTTAGCTAGAAAACGCTAGGTGGGCTAACGTGAGACGATTTCTACAAAGCACCACACCATGTTAGTAAGGGAATATAATAAAGCGTTTGTCCTCTTAATACCTCCTGGAGAAGAAATAACTTTAAATGAAGACAAAATGTACAGTAGGTAATAACTTATGGCACTGGCGTTTTGGCTAGTAACGTTACAGTAATTTAGTTCCAATTTAACGTCAGTTTAACGTTACCGGTGTTATTTAGCTAACTTAACTGAACAGTTCACAACAACAAAAATATGTCGTTTCTCCACGTTGTGATGCTTCTCCTCTCAAGGGAAGACTTTCAGTCCGTCCAGGGTCACGTAATTTCATCAAAGGCAGAGCTGACAAAAGCCACGCACACGCACACACACACACACACACACACACACACACACACACACACACGCTGAGGAGACATGGTGGTAGAGAGAGCCATACTAACCTATTGATTCTGTATGGGCTGAGAAAACACCACAGTCCCCTATGGCTTGGTACCCAGTGTTTGAGAGAGTGTGTGTATGCCAGGGTGTTGAAGTTGCTTGCCCATTGCCTTCTATGAGTGTGTGTGTGTGTGTTGTCCTGAAATAGATGCATGGGAGCCAATTACCCTGCTGTGAACCTCTGCACAGTTTTCTCTTAATTACCACATATTCCCCCGGTGCCATTTATACTCTGGGTTTAGACTGGCCCTGAACATGTCACATCATGTCTGTTAAACACACACACACACACACACACACACACACTTGAACAGGTCCTGTCGTCAGTGAGGCTGTGGACATCGCTATGGTTGTCTTGTTCCACAGTGTGTGATCAAGTGCACCATTACGGTCATATCCATTTTGTAAGATCCCGTTTGTCAACTGTCAGTGTCTTTCCCATTCAATTTGCTGTGAAAACACTTCCAACAATAAAACAGAGTTTGCAAAATAATGATGTGTTACCCCCTGCCAATGTTGCTGGCAGTACTCTCGGCCCAGAGTGTATCAGTATTTGTCTGTTGGATGCTAATAATTTCTCTCCCCGTGCGGTACAATACAGCCCCTTAAGTGTTTTGTCTGTGTCTCGGCACATCTGCTAGCAGACTGAGCTCGTTTGACTCTCATATATTAGTTTAATGTGGCTTAAATTAAAGATGGCTGCTAATGAGGCTGAAGAAAGGCAGTACATTTGCTACACAAACTTGCTATCTATCTATCTATCTATCTATCTATCTATCTATCTATCTATCTGTCTGTCTGTCTGTCTGTCTGTCTGTCTGTCTGTCTGTCTGTCTGTTTCTGTTTCTGTTTCTGTGAAGACTACCAGAGAAGCTTTGGCTCTATCGTAAGCCATATTTTGAGGGAGCTGTTTTACATTTAAAGGTATCTGTATTAGGATATGTGTTGAATTACTGTCAGCAAAGTCATACCATACCAAATTTACTTATTTCCAGAAAGTCTATAAATTACCAATGGCATCTCAGTGGAAGCCCAATCAATGAATCAGCCAACTGTTTTTAACTGGTCATACTGTAATTAAACAGGACAAACATAATTAGAAGCGAGCCATCACGAGAAAGGAAATACATCCGCTGTTGCACGTTTATTGTTCTTGTGGCAAATCTGATTATTTATCTTGATATAGGCTTTAAGTCATGTCTGTTTTGTTACCTTCTCCTACCTACAGGTGGGGATACATCAGAAGCACAGTTAAATATGTGTGTTGATGTTTGGGTTACATAACAGGAACTACTTTCTCAGCGGTATAGATGTACCTGCTGCATCGGCTACTACCACTAACAGCAGCTGAGCTCTTTTCCTTTAACGTGACCTTTAACATACTGGGTCTCTCTTTCACCTCGCCTCATAATTAACATCCCTCTCATCCCATCTTTTTCACTGTTGCTTTCACCTTCTCCGTCTCGCTGACCATCTCTCCTGCCCAGTCTCGTCATCTTCTTTTCCATACGTTCTCTCTTACTCTCACTCACTCACCCTTCATATTCCTCCCCACTCTTCCTCTGACTTTCCCTCCCCCATCTCTCTGTCACCCTTCGCCCTTCCCCTTTTCACCCTCTCTGGTTTCTGATGAGTGATAGAAGGTGAAATCAAGTGAAGTCATTTTACCCTGATAATGTAATGAACCACTCCCTCCTTATCTTCAAAGACACAGCACATGAAAGAAAGGAGCTCTGCAGTGTATGTTGCTGTGTGTGTGTGTGTGTGTGTGTGTGGTGTGTGTGTGTGTGTGTGTGTGTGTGTTGTGCTGTTGATTGTTTTGTCTAGAACAGTCATGAATTTGCCCACTGTTACTCTGGTGAATAGCTGATGGAATTCACCCAACAATACACAATGACCATCACAGTGACTCTGTTGACAGGAGTGTGTGTGTGTGTGTGTGTGTGTGTGTGTGTGATTGTTTGTGTGCATATTAAGGGTGAGCTCCCTAGCTTTGTTAGCTTTTTGCACAAGACTATGTGTGAATGAGTGCAGGTTATAGCCCCTGGTCTGACCACCCAAATTAATTTGTGCAAGAGTTGATGAAGTTAGCAGCACATGGCGTCTATATGTTTCTAAATGCTTTCAGGGGCTGTTAAAATAGTGTTTTCTGTCACCTTTAACTGCAAAAAATGCCTCTTTCAGCCCCTCCAAAATTCGGACAAAAGTTGAACACCGATTGTTATGTTGATGGATTATTGATTTGAGTGTGTGTAGCCTAGATCTGTGTGAGCACACTCAAGGTAGATGTCAGGTAATTGTAAGATAGATCGATTGATGGGGGTTAAATTATTTGTGTGTGTGTGTACGGCTTTGATACTGATGTACTATACCGACATCCATCCATCTATCGTCAATCGCTTATCCTGCATACAGGGTCACGGGGGGGGCTGGAGCCAATCCCAGCTGACATCGGGGTACACCCTGGACAGGTTGCCAGTCCATCGCAGGGCCACACATAGACAAACAACCACTCACGCATAACAATTTAGGGTCACCAATTAACCTAGTCCGCATGTCTCTGGACAGCGGGAGGAAGCCGGAGTACCCGGAGATGACCCACACGGACACGGGGAGAACATGAACACAACAACTCCACACAGAAAGGCCGGGGCAAACGGGGTTTGAACCCACGACCCTCTTGCTGTGAGGCGACAGTGCTAACCACTGCCACTGCTAACCACCAAATATAAATGACGTGTCCGTTTACTTTTAATGTACACATGTAATATGTTGTATTATTTCTCTCAATATAATCCACTTATTCTTATTTCCATACTTTATAGACACCTTATTGTGAAAACCGGATGTTGTCACATGTGTATCCTCGCACTAAATTCATCAAGTCCGACCCAATTTGATAAATAATGTTGTATGTGGTTCTCGTATCGTGTAACATGAAGACTTCACAACCTCTCTTCAGGTAGGACTCTCATAATGCAACACTTGTCTTTGTAAAGAGAGAAAATTACAGGACAAAGTCGCTAACCTGCCTGTCAGCTCGCACTGGTCCGTTTCAGTGGATTTACCATAAAGGCTTGAATACATGTGCACTCCAAATTTTATTCCAAGTTTATTTTCAAATCAGTACTCAGATATTGGTAACATTGTCAGTAGAGCCAGGGGGTAGCATTACCTCAATATGTGGAGCTTGGCTCAGAAACCAGAAGAACGCTGGTTCAAATCCCATCAACGATGCCCCTGAGCAAGGCCCTGAATGTTTAACTGCTCTCCAGGTGCTGCACAATTGCTGCCCACTGCTCTTAATTATGATGGGTTAAATGCAAAAAACTGAGAAATTTCCCCTCATGGATCAATAAAGTGAAGGAAAAAGAAACAATTACACAGATATAAGGACTTACTGCTTTTCTGTGTTGCATGTTATTTTAAATTGAATATATTTGACCTTTGAACTGTTTGTTGAGAGTTTGGCATTTCACAGATTGACGGTTAAGTGACCCTTCTCTGAGCCACGCCCCGAACACGCAGCTGGCCAATCACAGTGCAGTATAGGTCTCACTCTAACTGAGGTCTGACACTTTCATGGCTATGCTCCATTGACTCTGGTGCAAAATGAGTAATTTTCTAGCTAATAGACTGGCAGCTGAAAGTCCTACAGGTCCGTAAGAAACTAAGGGGGCGTGGCTTAATAAAGGGTAAATTGAAAAAATAATGTGTAAGTGTTAGTTACAGTCTTGTTGGACAGTGTTACTGTGTTTCTCACACTGGTGTGAGGTTGGGTGATTTCATGCAACATTTATTCTAACTAGGGTTGGGTGATATAGCCACTGAGGAAAAGAATCCTTATTAATTATGAATGTGTAACGTTATATAACTTTCATGCAGGTAGAGGCATTCTTATGTGACCAGGAAAAGACAATATTTTAACTCTATTATGATAGCAGAAGTCTCTGACTTTATCAATATGGCAGGGTAAATGATTTGTTGTATAGAGCTGGGATTTTCTGTATGTGAATATGAGTAGGGTTGGGCGATGTCTACAAAATTTCCATCGGACGTTGTCTGCAATGAGACATCGGGATAGAAGATGTCATCGGGTGCGCGGGCGGGGCAGCAGTCGTCTTATGTGCACATGTCTTCTCGCACAAACTTCACTCGGTAAAAAAAAATTGGTAGACTATTAACTTACGTTATAAGTCGCGGTCGCAGTGGATATTTTACGCACGGACCAGGTAAAGCAGCATTGAACACACGGTGCAGATGTTGGTTTTAGTTGTTTGATAGGCTGCGTCATTAATAAGCCGACGTGCAGCTCACCTGCTGCCGTGATAATATGGGAAGAATACATATGATAACAGATCGCGGGTGGAAATATACGGAAAAAAGACGATTTCTCAGTCTTTTAGACGACTTTATAAAACATACTGCTGATGGAGAAAATGGAGCAGACGGTGGGAGAGAGACAGAGAGAGGCGGGGCAAGCTGGGGTGTTTACCTGAGGTGTAGGTGTGTGTGAGTGTGGGGAGAAGAGAATTCAGAGGCAGGTGCAAACCATACTTAAAAACAATAATAAGAATGTTTGTGGTCATTAAAAGCTGCTTTCACAGAGTGGTATAATGTGAAAATTTGAGATTTATTTTGCTGGAGGGGCGGGGGGTTTACAATCACGATGCCGGTTCAACGTCGTGGTGTCTGTCAGCCATCGCCGATGGACGATGGCATCGTCTATGGGCCCAACCCTAAATATGAGCCAGGAAATGAGCATCACACTTGCACTGCAGACGGATGACTAAATGACAGATTCTTTTTGTTTCCTCCAGGTCAAAGTGACACAGGAGCTGAAAAACACACACACAGAGCAGATGACAAGGCTGCACTTTAAACACCAGACCGAATGTGACCTGCTGGAAGACATGAGGTATGGACACGTCTCTAACACACATGCGTGTGCGTTAACACGGTCCCGTTATTGTCCACCCGCAAAAAGAACTGAGGGATATCAGCCGCCAGATGGTTTTAAATCCTGTCATCGTTGCTGACTGCAATGTGCAGGGCATGCGCACGTTGATACAGCTGGAGGGGGAAACAACTGATGAGTGAGGGAGGAGTGGCATGTTAAAGAAAAAGAGAAGGAGGAGTATTGTCATATTGTAGTCTTTTGAGAAGGACAAAGGGTTGGGAACATGATGAAGGAATTTCCTGCTGTCCTCTTCCTGCTCTCCGACTCTGTTTCTTTCTTCCTCTCTTTCTTCTTTTCAAAATTTCATTTTGTATCTTTCTCTGTCATCTTCCCCATCCCTCATGTTGTTTCTGTCTCTTTTACTCTGATAATCTTTTTGTCTATCTCAATATCTCTCTTTAAAATTTTGGCTCAGCTCTGTTTACTGGTGACGTGTGTGAGTCTGGCAGTTTTCCCATTTGAATTTGGCGATGGGAGGATGGTTCCTTCACACGCACCATTTTCTGTGTTGACTAAGCATTGATTATTTATGACAGCAAACTCTCTAATCCTATTTGCTTCTCTGACTACATCCCTGTCTTTCTCCCTTTTTCTCATTTTCACGCTTTCACCATTGCTTCTCACTGAGACTTCTCCCCCTTTTTTAGTCTTGGGGGCAGTTCCAGCTGTTTGAGAACAGATTGCCTTGTTGCTGCCGGGTTTTGGAGAGTGAACAAGGCCCTGGTCTCACTTGTGGGAGAGAGGGAGAGCCAGTTTAGCATGTGCAACCACAGCGTGTTAGCTCTTTCAGTTAGTGAGGGATGGCGCTACATGCCACTGGGTAAAGATCTTCAAATTGGCTTTGTCATCCTCATGATTGAAAGACGCTTCCTGCTGTGTTTTCTCTGTACATTCCTGTAGTCTTTAATGTTTTGTAATTATTTCTGATGACACATTCTCATGGTGGTAAAACCAAGAGCAGCAGGGTGGTGCAGTGATTAGGGAGACAGCCTTTTGATTGGGAAACCTGGACTCAAGCCCCTGCAGCAAGGAGCACCTGCTTTTTGTTGATGTGTCCTTGAGCAAGACACTGAGGCCCCACTAGTTTAGTCAAAATGTGCTTTTTTTATTTAGTGTTTTCCACAGGATTTGGAGGGACTGTGGTGGGTGGGTCCGAAGTCCAAGAGGGTCCGGTAAAGTAAATTACATGTGTCCATTTACTTTTAATGTACACATGGTATATGTTTTATACTTTCTGTGAATATAATCCAATTAATCTTATTTCCATACTTTATAGACTTCTTATTTTGAAAACTGGACGTTGTCACATGTGTATCCTAGTGCTAAATTCATCAAGTCCGAACCAATTTGATAATGTTGTATGTGGTTCTCGTATAACGTAACATGAAGACTTCACAGCCTCTCTTCAGGTACGACTCTCATAAAGCAACACTTGTCTTTGTAAAGAGAGAAAATGACAGGATAAAGTTGCTAACCTGCCTGTCAGCTCACACTGGTACGTTTCAGTGGATTTACCATAAATGCTTGAATAAGTGTGCACTCCAAATGTAGGTGCGGCTAGCTATTGCCTTCTCAGAAAAGAGTGACAGAAACACTCAAAGCCGGTCAGACCATTTGTTGCCTTTTCTAAGAAGTCATCCACAGATGGAGTGGATGTGCTAGGAGACAATTCAGCAGAACAGTGTCTACAAATACTGATTTTTGCGTCTTTCTCAGACACTTTAAAATGCCTCCACACTGCCGACATGTGAACCTAATTGTTCAGTAAAATTTATTTGGTCTTTTGACGTGTTAGGCAGAACACAAAAGTGCTTTTTTTGCTATTTTCGGCCGATTCATTTCGGTGGCCGAACATTCTGTGCATCCCTAAAGATAGCCGTTCAATACACACTGACTATGACCGCTGTTACTGCTGTCAGAACCAGCTGTTTTTTATTTCAACAGCGCAGTACCTGAGTTGCTAAAAGGTGGCAGCTGGCCAAACCATCAACTGTTATCACCAATACAACTGAGATGGCTGATCTGATGGCATACATGAGAAGTATACAGGAAGAATATTCGCATTGTGTTAATTTTTTTAATTCTGTGAGTCTTTGTCCATGCCCACCAAAGCTTTATAGAGATCTAGGAAGCTCATTGTAGATCAGTCAGTACATTTGAAGAAACTAAAGTGTGTCTATTTCTTGAGAAGCAGGAGTAATGGCTGCCTAGAAAACTGCTAGTGGGCTAGATAGACCTTTAGACTGTGGTAGAATTTCTGTCGCCAAATTTCTGTCACAACTTGATTTGACAGAGTAAGAGGGCGGAAATGATACGTCTATTAATCAATCGAGTTGATGGACGGCAAAATAATTGTCAAAATTTTGCTAAACATTCCCTGGTTCCTGCTTGTGCAATGTGAGGATTTGCTGCTTTTCTCTCTTTGACATCACTGCATATCAGATATCTTTGGGTTTTGGACTGTTGGTCAGACAAGATGTCACACTGGAATCAACATTTTAACAGTTTTTCCTATTTCAAGAAGTCCTATAGAATAAAGAATTAATGAGTGATTTAATAGTAAAAAAGAGTCACCACATTTCTTAATATTGAAATAAATTGTTAGCTGCAGCAATACATAGATAACTAACCCAATACTTTATTGAGACGTCAAGCTCTAGCTCTTGTAACAGATGCATCCCTAACTGGCTTGACTGTTATGTTAAAAATGCAGTCGGGATTTCCACAGGAAAAAGCAATTATTGAACTGTCCCCAACTAGGGTCTGAATACAGAGTAAATAATGTCAATGCTGCCTGCAAACAGTGAATAGATTATAGTAGGAAGCTAGCCAGTTGGCTAACACTGGGACATATACAGTAATGCTCATTATTGTAAATTGTCCCTGTAATTACATACTTTTGATTGATCTGGACTGAAACTACGACTGTAATTGTTTATGTAGACTATGTAAATCACTTGGCTAGACCTTTGCTTTGGTGCTAATGTCATGTCAACTTAATGTCCAGAAATCATCTTCAAAATAGCTGGACTGTGTGGCCATTTAATGAAACACATACAGGGTTGACAGACATTTTCCTACGTAAAGCCTATAGTAGATTTTAACTCTTAAATCCCAAAATCTGCTTTGAGGTTATTTACCCTAATTAATTAATCCACAGGCTGGCTTTAATCAACGCACACACTCAAACACATAAACACAAGTTGCTAGCTGTAGTGCATTCAGCCTATGTGTTTAACGATCATTAAAGGTAAAAAGGGGAAACATAAAGAAACTAAGAATGAAAGAAATAAGAAAGAAAGAAAGACGGCCCGACAGAAAGAAGGAAGGAGAAAGGGCAGTTTTTAATCCTCTGGGTTTTAGCTGGACTAGTTTTAGGAGAGAGGATAAGAGAAAGATAGAGAGAAGAGAAAACGATGACGAGTTGGTGGACTCAGGGAGTCAACTTGGTGTCCTCAATCCAACTAAATCCCCCATACCCTTATTTCTGCCTCAACAGCTACACACGAGCACACATCACCCAGTGCAAACCACAAAAAATAGGCAAGTCTAGGGTGACCAGATGAGAATATGTGAAATTCGGGACAGGGGAGATTGGAGCGGGAGTGGCCTCCAGTACATTACATTCACTGTCAACAGACAGTAAAACACACAAAAGTCAAAACTAAATGCTAAAATGTATAATTTTTGTCATACTTTTGTCGTTAGAAAAACACAATGACTGTGTTGTATGTAACGGTGTGTAAATCATGATCACTTATATACAATTTATTTTATTAGTCATTTCATCAGGGCGCTGTCAGATTAGCTAGCCTAATCAGGAAGACTTGCTTGCCAATCACAAGCGCCATGTGTATCCTGTTACGGTCCTACTCAGCAATCAGAGCGGGCACAGGGTGTGTACATTTTACAACAATAAACGAAACTAGAGGAAAACATGTGGAATAATGTCGTCAGCCGAACCGACACAGGCGCTGTGCCACGGTTTTGTACATCCTCTGCCCGGCGCTAACTCACAGTGTTTAGCCTGCCCTACATTGTTGATGTGTTTTTAATTTGTCCTTTCTTATGCTTTTACTACAATAACAGATCTCTTGTTCTGCTCTCTGCATGGCTACATATAACCGACATGGAACATTTCAGAATAAGAGCATTTTGCCTCTCTGATTTCACTGACTTGTTCAGATTTTGCAAAATCAAAAGTCGCAATTAGTTTTTTTCCCAAAATTGTTCAGCCCTAGTTTAGTGTAATATTCGGGACAAACAGGACAGGATGTCCTGAATTTTTTGGGATGTTTGTTGACCCTATCCTAGTCTCATACATACTTGTATTCACCTTTTTAGACATTTGGTCACATTGACCTGTAGTTTCATATAGCCACTTGCCCTCCCTTTTGCTGAATAAGGACATACCTTCAACTTAATAACGGGAGCTGTAGCAGATTTTCAATACAGCAGGTTTATCTGTAGATTTGGATCAGTGAATGAAACCAAACTGCATCATCATGACACTATACAGAGTGCCACGATGATGGCCTTTTTGCAAAGGGCATGTTTTGCCCTGCAGCGCTGTGTTCAAAATCTGTTCTCATGATAAGCAAGAAATGGTGTGGCTCACAACATATTACCCGTCTGTGAAGACGGCATTTGTTTTTTTACAAGAGAACTTGTAACTTATCCCGTTGTCGCTGTTGTCAAATGCATAATTTTCCGTAGTCCAGATTCTTTATGAAGAATCTGCAAAGAGCATCATCAATTGTGGAGATGACAGCAATGACAAACCAAAGGACAAAACAAAGGATGAAAGTGCCAGCTTTTGTGGCTGATGCCGGCTAGACAGGACTGGACTGGACTAGAACTGGAGCCCTGATGTGGTTTAGTAATTCACCCCCCTCTTTCTTTTGTGTGGCACATTTGCATACTGGGATAAATTTCAGTTTCACTCAAGTTTATTGACC